ACACACACCAAGGCACAGACTGCAGGTCTGGCCATCCCTTAAATAAACCTGCATAATCAGCTTCAGGTGTTTGGCTGGCTGCAGGGTTGAGTCTCTGATTGCTGAGAGCACCCGCTGGCCAGCCCTGGTACTGCAGCCCACAAGGCAGTGAGTCCCACCATTACTGGCAAGTCCATTCCTGACACCGTGATCCCAGTGGCCAGCTCTGGATTGGTCCCGGTGGGTTAGGGTGGAAAGCCACCTGTCTCGGGTAGTTACTTCTGGTTTCCCGGCCAATGCACCAAAAATGTAGTAGCAATTTTGGCAAACCAGATAATTCTGGACACGGACTAGAGGAATACCTTAAATTTTTAAAAACAGCACTGTTTTGACTCAACAGATGACTCCCTCATCTACTAAGTGAGTTATAGAAAACGCCTTACAAGCGTATATACCAATGATTACATCACAAGGCAAACATTCCTTTGTTACTTTCTATACACTCAAAAGTATGCCTAAACTCTATAGAATAACCTTGGACAGCAGCTGCAGATAAGAATCCCAGCTACAAACCGGTACACAGGAAATAAGGGAGGGGGGCAGATGAGCCAAAAACTTTGATTCTACAAACACAGGCTGCAAGGAGTGTAAGAGTTTAAAGGGGAACTCTACAACATCTGGGTGCTACCACACAAGCAGTAGATGTGAGCAGCTGCGTGATCACTGAGCGGAGCCCAAGGGACATATTTGTGGTCCAGAAGGCCTTGCGCATGTGCCTCCAGATAGATATAAATTTTTATGTTTAAGGATTTATTTTTGTATTTTCTTTACCAAAAAGGGCAATTTGAGGGGTTATCTGTTTTATTATTAAAGATACTGTATACCTTTGTTTTTATCTTGTGTTCTGTGTCTTTAAGACTTTTCTATATATAATAAAATATCTTTGTTAAATAGTTGGTTGCATAACAGCTAGATTTATTTTTTATCAATTTTTTTAGTTATTTTTGATCTTTCATGGAAGCCACAGGAACGGTTATTATAATATGTTTCTTGGGGCTGCAGTTCATCTGAACACCACAAGGTGGTGATCTCACTTCTATCCAGACAGGAAATTATTATAGAACACAGACAGGAAGTGATGTCAGGTATAGACAGGAAATTATGTCAGGTACAGACAGGAAGTCATCTGGAATACAGACAGGAAGTTCCATACCATATTAAGCAGCGAGGAGACATTGCTGAAAGTGGCAGCAGAGGAGGTAATAAGATGTTATTTCCTATTTACACCCAGTAACCCTCCCCGTCATGTCCGTCCTCTTCCTCCATAGTCACGTCCGTCCTCTTCCTCCATAGTCACGTCCGTCCTCTTCCTCCATAGTCACGTCCGTCCTCTTCCTCCATAGTCACGTCCGTCCTCTTCCTCCGTAGTCATGTCCGTCCTCTTCCTCCATAGTCACTGTGACGTCTTTTATCTCCAGCAGATGATGATACACACATATATAGTGTGGGAACCCAGATTAAACCCCTTCAGGGGCAGAACATTCCCCCACTTCCGGGGCCGGAACATTCTCCTCATTGTGGAGATAAATTCTAGTAATATGGTCCTCTAAAACAAACAGCAATAAATAGACAAGACAAGGACCATCCTGACCATACATGGCCTACAAAGGGCAATGATGACACTACACAGGCAGCCAATGGGCAATCATTACACTATGCAGCCAACACAATGATGGAGTGCCGGGGTCAGGAGTATGGAGCATAGAGCCCCTTATGTTGCTGGTCAGGAGGAAGGAAACATTCCCCAGCCGGCCATGAAGAATATGTTCCATCATTGGTGTCAGAGGGAGGGAAATCATGAGGGTTCTGAGGGAAGTAGAGGAGCTGAGGGGTCTCTAAGGGGTACTGAGGATTAGAGACTTTGGGGCCCCTGAGGAGGTAGTGGAGTTCAATGGCTTTTGGGGGTAGAGTAGCTGAAGGAATCTGGGTCTTTGATAGGGTTGGTGGGGAGCAGGGCTCTGAGGAAAGAAAACTTTGTCAGGCTCAGGGGGACTCTGAGGTAGGGAGGGGGACTCTTGGTCTCAGATTTTCCTCTTACCTGCACTTTCCAGATCTCCTTTCAGAACTCCTACCAGGAAAGGAAGGCAACCTTCACCTTCTTACCATATCACTGGTCAAATAATATATTCCAAGATACCAAGTGGCATGAACAAGGACAGTCTTTAACACCTTGGTGGGCACTTGTTCCTACAGGAGGTCTGTTGGTGCATTATTGATAAACAAAATCCTCCCCCCTGCTGTCCTTCTAGCCACACTAGGCTGTCATTGGAGGGAAGAGAACAGGCTCTCCCCCATAGCGCTCTACGCCACCATCAGCATCCTCCTACTATCCAATCCAATATCTTCTCTCACTGCAGAGAGTGACACTGACATCACTCCTGTCAGTCAGCAGGCTGCCAGAGATTGGAGCCTTACAGACGAGTTCTGGCAGTTATCCTGATTAGCCAGCAAAAGTCAGGAAGTTCCCCTTCCTGCACATCATGATATCCCGACATTGACCTCACAGCACCGCCTCAGAGCAAACAAATCAAAGGAAGGATCGTATTTATCATTCCTTGTCTGCAGATCTAAAACTCTTCAAAACCAGTTCAGGGACCAAACAAACCCAACAGAGGAAAGGGGACTTCTGATATGGCAGGTCAAGTGTATCCCAGGACCTCCACAATGTAAGAAATGATAAAGAGTCTAGATCAAATGTCTTCCCATGGGGAGCAGTAATTCCTGAATGTCCAGCAACCCTCCTATTCCCCCCTCACATCCACATCCTATTATTGTGTGACCAACACCATCCAAATCATTCTTACTTTCATTTCCCAAAGTTATCCGTCTACAAGGAGACCTGTATAGATCACATGATGGCACCAATGAGGATGGAGGAGGACCGGAGTCACATGACTGAGAAGATACTAAACCTCACCCTGGAGATCATCTACCTGCTGACCGGAGAGGTGAGGAGGATTCTGGGAGGTCACATGACATCACTTTTATCTCTATTAATAAAACACAGACCTGACCGGAGAGGTGAGGAGGATTCTGGGAGGTCACATGACATCACTCTTATCTCTATTAATAAAACACAGATCTGACTGGAGAGGTGAGGAGGATTCTGGGAGGTCACATGAAATCACTGATCTCTATTAATAAAACACAGACCTGACAGGAGAGGTGAGGAGGATTCTGGGAGGTCACATGACATCACTCATCTCTATTAATAAAACGCAGACCGGAGAGGTGAGGAGGATTCTGGGAGGTCACATGAAAAATCACTGATCTCTATTAATAAAACACAGACCTGACCGGAGAGGTGAGGAGGATTCTGGGAGGTCACATGACATCACTCTTATCTCTATTAATAAAACACAGACCTGACCGGAGAGGTGAGGAGGGATTCTGGATTCTAACATGATGTTCCTATTGGTTCCTCAATACAGAGATTTCCTCCTCTGAAATCAGGTGATCATATGACCATCACAGTACCTCCATGTGACTCCCTAAACCCTGAGAGACACAACATGCAGAAGATTCTAGAAGTCACCAAGAAGATGATGGAGCTGCTGACAGGAGAGGTGAGCGGTGCGGGAATTCTGGGACATTCTCCAGTAACAGACAAGGGATGTGTCTGGATGGTGACTGTATCATTGTGTGTGTCAGGTTCCTATAAGGTGTCAGGGTGTCACTGTCTATTTCTCCATGGAGGAGTGGGAGTATTTAGAAGGACACAAGGATCTCTACAAGGACGTCATGATGGACAATCAGCCGCCCCTCACATCACCGGGTAAGAGGAGACTTTATTGTAAAGGAGAAAGCAGTACGGAGGATCCACCTAGATCCCCCATCATCTGATAAACACATAGAAACAATGGATTCAGTCTCAGTAGATGGGAGGCAGCAGTGTGGGACCTTTGCAGCTTGTCTTATGAGAACATCTAGGCCACCACTGACTGCTGAATACCAATATTATAAGTCCTGACCCTTTCACTGTATAATTTATATTGTACATTACATACTCCTGATCCCTGCACTATATACTCTATATTGTACATTACATACTCCTGACCCCTGCACTATATACTCTATATTGTACATTACATACTCCTGACCCCTGCACTATATACTCTATATTGTACATTACATACTCATGACCCCTGCACTATATACTCTATGTTGTACATTACATACTCCTGATCCCTGCACTATATACGCTGTGTTGTACATTACATACTCCTGACCCCTGCGCTATATACTCTATGTTGTACATTACATACTCCTGACCCCTGCACTATATACTCTATGTTGTACATTACATACTCCTGACCCCTGCACTATATACTCTATGTTGTACATTACATACTCTTGACCCCTGCACTATATACTCTATTGTTGTACAATACATAGTCCTGACTTCTGCTCTCCCCCTCCCCCCACTGCTATATATACACATAATATGGATTCTCTTTTGTTACACCCATTTCCTCCCAGCTGGACATTTTATATCGGATGATGTGATTGGAGCACAGACTTTTACATGGTGATAATAATGTGATACCATCCTCCAACTTTGGACCCTTAAACAGAAAGTGATAATGAGGGGGAGGAGTCAATACCCCAATGATGGTGGTCTTCAGGATCAGTCCAGTCTTCATTTCTCCCCCATCCTCACTCTGACCTCTGGTGGGGCTCAGCCAGTCCTGGTTGGGGGGAACCAATCAGCTCCTGTCTAGTAATCCTCTTTGTCTTTGTATTTTAGTCCATGGCCGGGAGATGAGGAAAACCTCCGAGGATTGTCTCACTTTGTCTCCAGACTGGAAAGTAGAAGATGAGGACATCACACACAGTATAGTCCAGGAGAAAACCCGGCTCCCTCCAATGTCCATCCGGCACCACCCAGTGTAGATGGACCATCGAATTCCTCGTATCCTGAGGAACTTCAGACTGTGCGGGACCGGACCGGCCTTCCAACAGAGAAGAGGTTCTCCTGCACTGAGTGCGGGAAGGGTTTCCATTCTAAATCCAAACTTAATGTGCATAAAAGAACTCACACGAGGGAGAAGCCATATTCCTGTCCTGAGTGCGGGAAATGTTGTTTACAGAAATCACATCTTATTACACATCTAAGGCTTCACACAGGAGAAAAACCATACTTCTGTTCTGAGTGTGGAAAATATTTTTCAGACAAGTCCTTTTATCATAGACATCAGAGATTACACACAGGGGAGAAGAAATTTTCCTGTCCTGAGTGTGGGAAATGTTTTTCAGATAAGGCAAGTCTTTTCACACATCAAAGATCTCACACAGGGGAGAAGCCATATTCCTGTCCTGAATGCAGGAAATGTTTTTCAGATAAGTCCAGTCTTTGCAGACATCAGAAATCTCACACGGGGAAGAAGCCGTATTCCTGTTCTGAGTGCGGGAAATGTTTTTCACAGAAGTACAATCTTTCCACACATCAGCGATATCACACGGGGGAGAAGCCATATTCCTGTCCTGAGTGCGGGAAATGTTTTTCAATTAAGTCCCATCTTCACACACATCAGAGATCTCACACGGGGGAGAAACCATATTCCTGTCCTGAGTGCGGGAAATGTTTTTCAAGTATGTCCCATATTCACACACATCAGAGATCTCACACAGGGGAGAAGCCATATTCCTGTCCTGAGTGCGGGAAATGTTTTTCACAGAAGTCCAGTCTTTACGCACATCAGAGATCTCACACGGGGGAGAAGCCATATTCCTGTCCTGAGTGCGGGAAATATTTTTCACAGAAGTCCAGTCTTTACAGACATCAGAGATCTCACAAGGGGGAGAAGCCACTTTCCTGTCCTGAGTGAGGGAAATGTTCCTCACTGAAGTCCTGTCTTCCTGTACATCAGGAGTCCCACACAACCCTGGAGGTGTATTAGTGCCTTGAGTGCGGGAAATGTCTTCTAGATGAATGTTGCTGGACATCCCAGCTCTCATGTGGGGAAGAAGCACACCCTGATATACACCTCAGATATTCTCCATGGCTGATCTTCATCATGGAAGAAACAGTTCATAAGGAGATCAGAGGTCCCCAAAGACATGGATGAAGTGTGGGACTGGGTTGGCCATTGATAGCAGGAGAATAAAAATGGAGTCTTGACCTGTTATTGGCTGAGTACATTTTGTGGTGGGAGATTTCACAAACACTTGGAGGTCTGATTTGTAAACAATGTATTGGACAGATGTGATCAGTGCTGGCCCAGCTGTGATGAATATCGGTGGTATTGTATTCATCCAGTGATGACGTTGAGTATAGGAATTCGTCATCTTGAAGCTGAAAGTTGTTATTTCTCAGGATTTATTTATTGTCATTATAAATGATTTGAGCAGCTCAGCAAACAGCCTAATAGCATTTGTTTTTGCCCCCCATTCCCAGAGATGGAATGTACACGGCCCATCACCAGGGGAATTGCCGTTCTTGCAGCTCTCCATACGGACATGTGTCAGCGTGCCTCTCTGAGCCGCTCAGCTTCCTCATTGAGGAGGTATGGGGACAATGGAGGCATGATGGGCCGGATAGGGACAGCCAGAGGGCCAGATGTGGCCCCAGGACTGCAATCTGTCCAGGTCTGGTATACAGTGTTTCAAAAACAGGTGAAGTGAGCACTGAGAGGAAGTAGCAGCTGTCACAAAAAGGGTACATGCTAACCTCCCAACAAAGCAGATAAAGACTTCATAGTGCAGCGCTCAAAGTTTTCAATGACACACAGAAGGAAGGAATCAATAGACTTCATCCAAACAGGTGAATGCAGAAAGAAACTCACCAGAAAGGGCCTCAGGGTTGGATTTCTCTGTTCATAGAACAAATACTAGAATGTGCAGATATCAGCAAAAGCAAATCGATATGAAGCCACAAATCCTAAAATGCGAGTGTGCAGTTCTATGTCCAATATTGACCTCTCCATCTTCTCCAAAGCATGTGCAGAAAAGTCCCCGGGTGTAAAGGAAACACGGCACTCCGGCACCAGCAGTGTGAAAACTCCTCCACCTTTCATGTCCACACCAGACAGCCAAGATACAAAAGCATCTAGAATTGCTGATGGATCTCCGTTTACACTCCTCAATATTCCAGCCCCAGGACGCAATGTTCTCCTAAACAACAAACCAACAAAACAGCCCAGAGATGATGAATATTGTGCAGTATGTTATTAATAAAACCTCCAGCATATATAAAATATATCCACATGGCAAAACAGTCTGGACTTAGGAAGATGGCTGCCAATCCCAGAAATGTCAGAGTGATATCAGCACATAAGACCCCTCCAGGGGCGGACTGACCATTTGGAAACTTGGGCACTGCCCGAGGGCCCGGGGTCAGTAGGGGGCCCCATGAGATGCCCCTGGTACCTTTTTCATAGGCTTTTTTGAGTTTGGGCAAGGACACGGGCCCCATGAGTTGTCAGTCCGCCCCTGGACCCCTCCCAAAGCTTTTCATGCACATGCAAGTTTCCAGGGATACACTCTAATACAGGATACTCACTACAGGCACCATTTTACTATGGATCATCTACACAAACAGGAAAAAACACATAGAGCAAAAATTATTTAAAAAAAGTCACAAAAAATAAAACTAAAATGTTGATCTCTATAGGGCCAGCGACCTATTTAGTATAATAGTACAAAGCATATGTATAGTATTATACAATAAAAATCTGAAAAATAAATACAAAAATCTGTTTCAAATATTACAATGAATAATCATATTAGCTATTCTTATCTATAAAACAACATCAATGTTAAGGTTGAGACCTCAAGGAACCAATGTGCCCATCTCATAAATCCATTTTTTCCTACATTGACACCGCTATCCATTTTTTTTTACAACCCCTTCAATGTGGAAAGATCTGGTCAATCCCAACAAATGTGATACCCTTGGGATTCTTACAATAAAATTCACTAAAATGGGCCGGAAGGGATTGTTCTTTAAACTCTTTTTTAATATTGTAGAGGTGCTCTCTCAGATGGTGCCTCAACCTTCTAGTTCTTCCTATGTATTGTTTCTTACACAGACATTCCAGAAGGTAAACTACGTATTTCTTATTACACGTAATAAAATAATCAATATGATAACTTATTCCTGTAGTTGCTGACAGGAAGGAATCATTTCTACCTAATCTAGCACCCCCCTAGCTTGCAAATTCTACAAGGGAAAAAAACCTTTCAAGCTTGAAAATAAAGAAATCTTCATTCGGGGTCCCCAGTGTTGGGTGCTATTTTATTTCTTGAAGAGGGTGCTCTACAAAATACCACTTGGGGATCCTCAGGTAACAAACTACATTGAACTATGTCACTTCCTAATATCCCCCCCATGTTTTTTGATGATCCCCCTGATTTGTGCATGTTGAATGGAGACATTTGTGATAAATGGGCAAGTCATCTCCTCATTAGATGCATTTCCCTGATTGTATAAAAGTCCCTCCCTATTAATTCCCAATACTAGTTGTATCGTGGCTCTAAGGGTGATCTCATCATACTGCTTCTCTACAGATCTGGGTTTCAAAATATTTTCTGGTGTAAAGTAATCCTCCAAGTTGTTACAATTACGCCTCATCCTTATAAACTGTCCCTTCGGTGTGGTCTTAGGACAAAGGGGACGGTGACGGCTACCAGTGGGGATGAAGATGTTCTTATCGGTGGGCTTAATAAAGTTAGTAACAATACCATTCCCATTATTAATCCGAGTTAAATCTAAGAAATTCATCTCCACCTGACTAGAGGTATGGGACAATCTAATATTAGGATTCTTGGGATTTACGTCCCCACAAAACAATCCAGGGATTTCATGTCACCTTGCCATAGGAATAGGACATCACCTAAATACCGCCAGTAGAATACTAATTCTGGCCAATCTCATGATTAGATGATGTCCTTCTCCCAGCTGACCATAAACAGGTTTGCCAGGCTGGGTGCAAATGTAACACCCATGGCAACTGCCTTAGTTTGCAGATAAATACTTTGTTGAACCAAAAATAGTTGTGTCTCAGAGCAAAATCAAGCAGTTAGAAAATAACTTTTTGAAAATCAGGAATGTCCATGGTTTCCCTTAGGTAAAAATCCACTGCCTCCAGCTCATCCCCATGGGAGATATTTCTATATAGCGAGGCAACATCTGAAGTCACTAAAAAGTATGGGAATTGGTCACCTCCTGCAGGTCGATTAGCACCACTCTGGTATCTTTCAGAAAAGTGGGATTCCCTCCCACTAGGAGCTGCAGGAACAAATCAGTCTATTCCCCTACTCCTGATGAAAGGGAACCGATTCCACCAATAATGGACCTTCCTGGAGGTGAGATTGATTCTTATGCACCATGGGCAAGTGGTACATAACAGGCACACGTGGAGCCCATGGACATAACAAGTCTCTTCTTTCTTAGTGATCATCCCATCCTCATAACCACCTTCCTCCTAAGTTCACCTTTCAGTTTTATTGTTGGACCTTTGGGTAACACTCTACAGGTGAAACTCAAAAAATTTGAATATCGTGCAAAAGTTCATTTATTTCAGTGCAGCAACTTAAAAGGTGAAACTAATATATGAGATAGACTCATTACATGCAAAGCAAGATAGTTCAAGCCGTGATTTGTCATCATTGTTTTGATTATGGCTTACAGCTCATGAAAACCCCAAATCCACAATCTCAGAAAATGAGAATATTCCATGCAATCAATAAAACAAGGATTGTACATAGAACAATATCTGACCTCTGAAAAGTAGAAGCATGCATATGTACTTGGTTGGGGCCCATTTTGCAGCAATTACTGCCTCAATGTGGTGTGGCATGGAAGCTATCAGCCTGTGGCACTGCTGAGGTGTTATGGAAGACCAGGATGCTTCAATAGCGGCCTTCAGTTCTTCTGCTTTGTGCAGTCTCATGTCTCTCATCTTTCTCTTGGCAATGCCCCATAGATTCTCTATGGGGTTCAGTTCAGGCGAGTTTGCTGGCCAATCAAGCACAGTAATCCCACAGTCATTGAACCAGGTTTTGGTGCTTTTGGCAGTGTGGGCGGTGCCAAGTCCTGCTGGAAAATGAAGTCAGCATCCCCATAAAGCTCGTCTGTGGAAGGAAGCATGAAGTGCTCAAAAATCTCCTTGTGGACGGCTGCGTTGACCCTGGACTTAATGAAGCACAGTGGACCAACACCAGCAGATGCCATGGCTCCCCAAATCAACACAGACTGTGGAAACTTCACACTGGACTTCAAGCATCTTGCAGTGTGTGCCTCTCCATTCTTCCTCCATACTCGGGGTCCTTGTGCCTCTCCATTCTTCCTCCATACTCGGGGTCCTTGTGTCTCTCCATTCTTCCTCCATACTCTGGGTCCTTGTGCCTCTCCATTCTTCCTCCATACTCGGGGTCCTTGTGCCTCTCCATTCTTCCTCCATACTCTGGGTCCTTGTGCCTCTCCATTCTTCCTCCATACTCGGGCTCCTTGGGCCTCTCCATTCTTCCTCCATACTCGGGGTCCTTGTGCCTCTCCATTCTTCCTCCATACTCGGGGTCCTTGGGCCTCTCCATTCTTCCTCCATACTCGGGGTCCTTGTGCCTCTCCATTCTTCCTCCATACTCGGGGTCCTTGGGCCTCTCCATTCTTCCTCCATACTCGGGGTCCTTGGGCCTCTCCATTCTTCCTCCATACTCGGGGTCCTTGGTTTCCAAATGAGATGCAAAAGTTGCTCTCATCAGAAACGAGGACTTTGGACCACTGAGCAATAGACCAGGTCTGTTTTCTTTAGCCCAGGTAAGACACTTTTGACATTGTTTGTTGTTCAGGAGGGGCTTGACAAGAGGAATACGACATTTGAA